TCTAGTCACTAGTATTTGGGAAAAGGCAAAAGCAGGCATGCAGTAACAGTAAAGAGTGTCAGAATTTCTGTGTAAAACCTAATTGTAATTATACTGAAATTGAAAAGAAAACCTGCTTATTAGCTGTTACTCAGCAGGATTAAGCAAAGTCAGTCAATTCATAACCAAATGTAGCTGTAGAGCAATGGGTTACTTACATTGGCACTCATTACAGGTTAGACACCAGTGTGGATTTCATCCATAAGCTGTAATGAAATAAAAGAAATTAGGAAATTGCAAAAAAAAGTTTCATTCAGTAATCTGTTCATGGCTGTGCTTGGTTTCTGCATGATTCACATAAGTATATATAGTACTATGGCAAGAGTATGTTTAGGAAAATCTTATACTTTTTAAACTAAGCAATTAACAAATATTCATAGTGACTATAACTGGTCTTCATTAATTACCATGCAAAAAACCATTTAACTACAGAGATAAGGATCTCCCATTTTTGTACATTCACTCAATGGTAAGCATAAAACATTTTAACTGTTCACCTGAGCAACACTTCAGTATAACTGAGCCCTGAGTTGATGTATGGCAGAATAACACCCCCTCTAAAAGGGGACAGAGAGAGAAAATGGGTGGGGCTGGGAGAGGCCTTATGGTGTCACTTCACAATTAATTTTGGAATGGTAACATCTACTTTTTGGTATGTAGTGTATTAATTTCTGCTGATAGAGATAGGTCAACATAAGAACTATGCTATAAATTGCTGTGTGATAGGGTTCCTGTTCCTATGCCATGTCTGTGGCACTGGGCAGCAGTTTTTAAGGGCACCCAGTAAAGATATGAATACAGAAAAACTAACATAACTGTACTCTTCATTCTAAAAAAAAAGGAAATTAAATGCAGATAAAATTTTAGAAGTTCTAAATAAGAGACTATTTGGTCTATTTTATGGTTAAGCCCTTGCTGTTATGCTGTTTTGCATTGATGTTACATTATTTAATGTTTTGTGATTCTAAAATGGTTTAAGTCGTGTAAATTGTTCAGTGCAAAATCCCATTTCAAGTATATTTAGATTCTTTGTATTTTAGATTCATTGTAACTGGCAACTCTGTGTTGTCCTCATGTAATAGGCAGTATCAAGATGACTGTATTCTGAAATAGTCATTAGTGGAAGACCACTCCAGTCCTAGGACTATGTCTCTCAGACTTTCCATATGGACAAGGAAGTTCCAACGGTGAGCTGTCCCTTTGGTGTCTTCCAGCCCCCAGATCACTGCCCAGGAGGAAAGCTCACTTTCCCATCCCCTTCTCTGATTATTTATGCTTTGGTACTGCTGTTCTGTAAGCACACAGTCTTGGCTTTGCATCTGGCCTGGCAAGCTGGTGAAGGTGGTGTGAAGAGGTTGTTTCCACAGACCCGTTCCACACTGAAGTTTCCTTCACAGACTGGGCTGTATACCAACTTTAAAACCAGCCCATTACCCATGACTCTTTAATTTAATTATAGTTAGTTTAAAATAACCATTATAATATGTCTCCATGACCATGACATTGGATTTCAGCATTTTTTCCCAGCAGTATTTACTGCATTTAGTAACAAATTACTGAAATATCAGCTGTGCTATTTTAAGTATCAGTTAAATGTGATATTTAATTAATTGTGTCTTAAATTTTGCAATAGAGAATCCCAGTGATACTAAGCCTATTTTTTTATTTACAGCAGATAAACCTAAAGCCATGTAGTATATAATTAATTCTAACAGAAAAGCAAACTTCCTTTTATGGAGTCAGACTTCATTTTTGTGCTCACTGTAGTTCACACAAATAATGTTTGGTAGTAAAAAATATTTTGCAGCACAAACCTATTACATGTTCTGTGCAGATGAAAGTCATTAGTAAATTTTCTTTGTTCACATTAAAGGAAGTTGAAAATATGCTAATTGCTTATTATTTTAATCCAAATGTTATTATCCATAAATATTCATCTTGAAGATAAAATGCTAGCTTCATAAATACCTAGTGAACTTCACAAAATTGATTACATTTCAAATATGTGATTCAGAGTCTAAGATTCAGATCTTAGGATGGGATGAATCGCCCTCTGGAGGTGCCCATTTTAGTTTGCTGACTTCACAGGAATTCTGCTCTGGACTGACTAGTTCAAACTAAAAGTTAAGTGGCTGGCCTGTCACCTTCATTGAGAAATAACTGAGCATGGCATACCACAGTAGATCTTGTCATTAGACCTTGCTAAGAACAGCTGCCTTATTCCTCACCTTCTCTGTCAGTGTTCTTGTACTGTTTCTAATGTGAATAAACATGATTGTTGCTATTGCCATTTCCTGTGTATTGTTTTTTCCTGTCCTTTTCAATCTTGTTATCTTATCTTTCCCTGTTTTTTTCTTTTTTTTTTTCCTGACTCTTTACAGCTGCCACCCTTTCCGAAGCTTTTCACTTGCTACCTCTCTGACAATCCTCCTTTCCATGTTGAAAGTATTGTCCTAACTTGTGATGTGGAAGATTGCTGGCTCTTCCTTTGATGCTGATACCAGTATTTTCTTGACTGATAGGATTGTAATGAAGACATAGAAAAAGAAGACTATGGCACTCACATGAATTTTTTATGGTTTGAGTAGTCAAAAAATATTGTTCTTCTGCCTTCATATAAAATGTGTTGGTTTCCCAATGTAATTGTAGCTTAAAGATGTTTTTAGAAATGTAAAAGTAAATGTGAAGAGTATAAAATCCATATTAAAGACATAAAAATGTTATAAAATACAGCACTAGTCTTTATTTTAACAACTGAGTTCTACATGGCTCACTTGCAAAATGTGGGGTAGACTTACAAAGTTGCATACTGGTAAAGTCTGACTTACTAAAAGATGAAATTTCTTTTTCTGATCAGTAATTATTAAAAGGTCAACTTATTTTCTTTCTCCCTCTGGTAATATTTTCTTGTTATCCCTGTTAAAGATCTCCTTCTCTTGAGTTCTGTCTTCTCCCTTTTTTTTTGTTCCTTTTGTTAACCTAAGTTCGTGGTTCCTTTCTACCTTGGTCTCTCCTAACACTTTTGGTCCAAGACTGATCCCTTTTTTCTCATATGTTTGCATCCATTTGCCTAGAATATTGCCTTGAGCATGATCATATATACCTAAGCATATATTTACTTCTAAATGCTGGATGGCTCTGCTATTTTAGGACTTCCAGTAAAGCAGAAAAGAAACTTAACAATTCATGACAGTGTTTTAGGGTTTTTTTTATGATACATATGCCTTCCGAGGATCAAAGTACCTTGCTTCCAACATCAATGGAATAGTAACTATAGACAGAGATAAACATTCCTGTAAAAATAAAGACCTATGGTACTTGTTCAATATAGGAATGCTAACTCAAAAAGAGCATGAATGAAACCATGCTGTGTTCATAAATGGTATGGCAAACGTTTTCAGTTTTGTTTGCATATAAAGAAAAATGCTATTGGAAAGAGTGCTTTGTACTGATAGCAATGTAAGGAAATAGAATTTTTTTAAAAAGACAACTAAAATGTATACATGCAGAAAATCAGAAGAATTTTTGAAAATCATGCTCTGCTGTAGCAGAAATACTGAATAAGAGTTAATGTTTTTATGGGATAGATACCTACCTATTTTATTAGGTATACTAAATGTACTTTAGATAATATAAATTATTTGGATTGTAGTAAAATGAATACCATGATAAAACATAAACAGCGATGTTCAGAACTTTTGCTTTATATAGGCATGTGTAAAATATAGCAAAAATAATGGCACTAATAATAGCAATATACTAGAAAATTATTGGAGGTGTGAATGAGAGTCATTTATGGTGCCCAGAAGTTTTTAACTAGTGTAGTTACCTGCAGGACTTTGCATAATTTGGAGGCCATTAACAAAACACCTTTGCCAGATGTGTGTACTGAGCATGAGGACGACATTACAGACAATGGTTAAAAAGCAGAGGAAATTCAGAATCTCTAAAATAGTTACACCAATGAGGAGTTTGTGTTGAACAGTAGAAGCAGAAAGTTTTTGCTGAAAACTTAAGTTGCACTGACTGCAACAAAGTTTATAAAGAAAGACTGTATGAAAATTATCCATAGGGAGCAAAAGAATATTAAAACCCATGTAAAACCTGATCTGGCTTTCTGCAGTATACCCTCAAATGATTCACATTGACAGCATAGATTTAACTCACCAGTGATTGCTGAAAATCTGTCCCTTCTATTAACAATATAAGGCAACACAGATCCTGAAATAATCTGTGACTTAATACTCCTATTCATTTTACAGCAGAGTTGCTATGGACTAGAGCCTTGCTCATCATGAAAAATAATACAATTTTAACAATGGCATATCATTGTTAGAAGGAAGTACATCAAACTGACTTAGCACCGTTTTAGAAAACTAGTTTTGAGAGTACTGTACTGGTGTAGCTTAAGTCACAAAACTATTGGGTTTTTTTGATAATACTACTAATCTAAAATTCAGACTTGTAGTTTGATGATAAGATTATTTCTACACTCTGTGTATTTTTGATTTGAGATTTTTGAGTGATAAAATCTCACTTTAAAAAATCAGTTAAAATGTCTTTCTTTTAAATCTATTAGGAACAGTAAGGAAAGCATAGCTGAAAATAGTAACAAAACAGGAAAGATATTTCAGCAAGTGAGTAAGTGTAACCATAGGGAAACATTTGCCAGAGGAGAATGAATTTGAGTGAATTGCTACCTTAAGATGTGAAAACATAATCTATAAAGTCCTGCAGAAAATAATAATGAAAAAATAGGTCTTTCTGTTCATAAATACAGCTTAGGTACTGGTGGTCTTGAGAGATGCAATACCACTACAAATTCCAAGAATTGTTCTTTGATTGCATTAGAAACAGGCCTGGCTAAGACATAAATAGAATATAACTATCTGTAGTTATATAAGGAATATAAGGTAAGGGAAACATAAATAGCATTTATAAAACAATCACCCTGCTTGCAGATTCTGCAGATCACATGGCTGGCAGACACAGAAATAATTTCACAAATGAAAATGGAAGAAGCAAAATCCATGAAGATTGTGTTGAAGGTTTGATTTGTTTGACTTTCTCTAGGCCTATGAGGGTTTCCATGGTTATCATATATATACAGATATATTATATTAATGTTATACATACATATATTGCTGTATATATGGAAATGTATAAAAAGCTGTAAAAGAGGAATTTGAGTTCTGTGCAAGAGGCGCTTCAAAATAGGTTACAGGATTTTTGTACAGTACTTAAAACAACTGGAAGAAATTGTGAGAATTAAGTACTGGATCTGATAGTGATCAGGAAAAAAGGAGATACTAGATCTAACATTAAGACCTTATAACTGTACAATACTTCTGGTTTAATAAAAAGGCCAGAAAAAGTGTAAACATACTGTGAAAAACACTGACAGAAAGACTGATGGAATGATTTTGAAGAGTAATAGCAAAAAGCTGATTCAGAGTAACATTGCAATAGAATAAGAGAGAATCCACTGTAAAAAATGTGAATCCACTGTAAAAAAAATCCACTGTAAAAAAATGTTTAGTGAAGTACAAAGGTGGAGAAAAGGAAGCGGAACTGGAAAGGAGAACTTTAAACTTGCCATCATGCAAAGAAAGAACAGAAAGAGAGCTCAGACCATGTGATGCTATCTAAGAAAGCATAATTATCCACTGAATTAGTATAATTTGGCTAATATATTCTGAAAGTATGTGAAAATCTTAAAAGAATACAAGAAAGCAGATTTTTTTCAAGTTTCTTGAGCAGTTAATTTTCCTTTTTTTTCCCCCCAGAATAATACTGAATAAAAGCAAGTCCTAAGACCACTGTCTATGAATTGGATCATTTGTTTGAAAAGACAGTTGAAGAAACAGTGAACAATAATGGTAATTGAGAATGTAGAAAAGTGTCTGAAAATATGAAGAGTTCCAGATTCTATACCGTTGTTCTGCTCACTGGAGGTAGCCGAAGGTAGCCAAGATCCTTTCCTACTCGCAGGCTGAGAATTTGCCTGCTTTGGGAAGTCACAGTCACCCTAACGCTGGTCTGGCCTTCACCAACAGCTCAGTCCTCTGTGCAGGTTTGAGACTGGCATCATATGAAGGTATCTCTCTACCAGGTTTTTGGCTGCATTTAATTTCTTAGGTCATGTAGAAAAGAAAGTGCACCACAGCCCAGTTAAGAGCCAGTAACAAACTACAGCTCACGTTTGCCTGGCTAACCCACCTGCTCTCCTGAGCCAGGGTAGCCTCATTTGTACTGCCTGCTACAAGAATCCCTAACCCATGCTATTCCTCAAATCCAGCAGTGTTTTACCTGGATGCTTGTTGGCCTTGGCCAAAAGCACACCAAAGGGCAGGCTAACAGTTAAAGGATGTGGATTATCACATGGTAGAGCTCAAGTATGTGCCTGAGCCCTCTTCAGCTCAGTAACACGGATGTAACCTTAGGAACTACATCCAGTTGGCAATAATTACAACTGCACTAGCTTGTTTTAAATCAAAAATGCAATGGCATGAAAACCAGTAGTCTTGCAGACTACTATTTCTTGACCAGAAATCTGAAAAATTGGTAATTTAAGAAAGTCAGAAGACAATAGAAGGGAAAACAGTACTTATCTGATGTGGAAGTATTTTAACATGGAAACTTGAAAGCCAGTCAGATGACTGAATATTCTTTTCAAGATAAGCAAGGTTACAATTCAGAACTCAGCATAGGACCATTTGGGTAAATAGGTTTTGTTCACTATTATAATACAGTTTGGGTCTCATCTACCTTGTAGGATAAAAGCCTGAAATATGCTTGTGGTATTTTATTCTGAGACATTTGAGAAGGAGCTGATGCTGAAGTGGGCATGCTTCAATATAAAATAGTCACCTCATCATGCACAAGATGGGATAAGGGCTCTACTGAATATTTATACATCTTTCAAACAAACTGATATGCAGTAATGTCTTGGAATGAGTGCAATCTCTGTATTACTTGGACAGGTGTTCAGTATGTGATATAATTACCATTAGGTTCCAGGTCACCTTTTGACCTGTGAGGTCACCAGTTATTTCCATAGTAATTTCTAATTTTACAGGTTGTAGAAAACTATGTGAAGGCAAAACTGCACAAAAAGGGAAAACGCAATTACTTTCATAGACTTCTTTGTGACCTGGGATTAAGTGCTTAAGTCTGAAGACAAAATAAAAAAGGAAAGGAAAATGTGGCACATCAGACAATGCTGGACCATGATCAATTAGCATTCATTGAGTATTGTCTTTTAAGTCACTTAGAGGTAAAGACAGGAAATAAACTGCTCAAATAAAAACAAATACATATTCTGAAAGCAGTCAGCTACTCTGGTGTGTGCTGAGGTAATAAAGTAACTAAATGAAAGAAATTGGGCAAAATTGTAGGATGCTATAGATCAAAGGAAAATAGCCAAGAGTTTGAGATGTAAGATTAGGACTAGAGATTTGAAAACAGTTCTTAATATTAAATTATTCTTAATGGAACACTGGTAAGAAAATAGACCATCATAACAACGATTCAGCATAAATTTGCCTGTAGATTTAGCATTTGGAGAAGCTGTTCTGCAGAAATGCAGGCAGCTTTTCTGGAGGAACAAACCGGCTGATCTGGCTTTACCATATTGCCATGGACCGGATGTGCAACGGTAGGGAACTGCATTATGAAATATCCCTTTTGTAGTATGAATGTACAAATCTGTACATTTGGCTTGCTTTACATCAGTAGGATTATGTTTTTGCCAATACTAGAAACTACATTAAAAAGGGGAAGAGAATATCAATGGATAATATAAGAACCTGAAATTAGATGCACATAAAGAATAACATAAAGCAAATCTGTCACACATATTACATTCCTAGCTGCATATAAAGAAATCTTCTTTCTTATAATGACCTTGTATTTTGAAAACACAGGTGAATTATATAAAATTACAATACTGTGATGCCCTTAAGTATAGTTTTAGAAAATTACATGAAACAGCCAAACAAAATATTTGAAGTTACCTACTTCTCTCTGGAGTACATTATATATGCTAAACCTAGTGTCTGAACTGCCAGAACTGGTAGTTCCTGTTTTGAGGTAAAGAGTTGTTTCAAGACTTCTGCAAAAAGAGATTCTGAAAAATCTTGCAGCAGATAGGATGAGTATGCTAAATAAGTCTTCATAGACTGCTTCTCTGTTCTTTGTGATTGCATTCAGTGCCCATCACTCCTGCTTAAATAATCACTTGTTGAAGGATTGCCTATGTTTCCTGAGGGAGTGGGGGGACATAGTTTTTAGGAGCTGCTGGAAGTATGGGAGGGAGGAGACAACTGCATTCAGAAGTTTGGCTGAAGGGTAGAGGCTTTTCTGGAGATTGAGAGTGGGTGGCTCTGAGCAGGAGTGTAGTGCTGCAAGGAGTCCTTCAGCCTCTTTACTCATTTAGCCTGTTGAGAGCACACTTAGGGATATTTTGCCCATTGATAGATTAACTAGATTACAAAGAACAACTACTGCATTTCAGAAATTCATTATGAAAGTACTCTATGAACAAACTATATGAATAATAAAAAGCCAAACCAAACTGTAGAAACCACTTCTGAGAAGAACTTTCATATGTGATTATGGTTTAGTTGCACAGTCTGCACAAGTGAAGTAGAGCAAAGAAGAGGGAAATCTGGGCTAAATGTCACAAACTGCTCTGCAGTTTATCACCTTCTCCCCCTCACCTCCCCTGCCATCCCTGCCACCTTCTTTCCAAGGAAATAATTCAAAGATTCCTGGAATAAATCATCTGTGGTTAGAAAAAAAGTAAAGAGACTGGGGTCTCTAATGGCAGGCATTTGGGAGTAAATATGAATACAGACAGTTGCTGCAGAATTGATCTGTTATTATCTTAAATCCTCTATTTTACTTTTCTTGGTCCACAATATTTCTTCTTCATTCACGCAAAACTCATTGAAAATAACGCAAAATAGGACATACTTTTACCACAAACTAGTAGTTGTGTAATCATCAAAAAGATTCCTAGTGATCTTCATGTACCAACATCCTTCTAACTGTATTTCAGCAGACATTACCTATTTTGAGACAATAGAGATATGGGCTGAGAGTCAAATCTCCCTTTTATTATACTTGATTCTCCAAGAAAAACTGGATTTATGCCTGTCTGTCCATCCATCCAGCTGTCCGCTTATTTATTAAGAATATTAAAATTCTTATTTCAGCTGTTAAATATAAAATTAAGAATATAGACAAAATCCTTGGTGTGTCCAGTTTTTTGAATAAAGGAAAAAAAAGAAAGAAAAAGTGACTTACTTTGTATGCAAAGAAAATTGTCACTGCTGATTTCGAAAAAAAGTTACTGAAGGGATGTAGAGGTGTGTTTTGTTTCAAGGGTCTGCGGGCCCCACTGCTCTACAGTTCCATAAAATTTCAAGTAGTATGGATACTACCTAGTTTTACAGATGAAGCAAAATCAAAGAACATACATGCAAAATTGTCAGAATAAAAATCAGTGAGTAAAATTATTTGATCTCTGTGTTAAAATAAAGTCTACAAAAGAAAATGAATTTAATTTGCAGGTGAAGGGGAATCTATAGAAGAACAAATGAGTGAAAATGTTTTTGGAAAGCAAGATTTATAAGGCATATTTCAAAAACGTTGTATTTGTTTAGTCTAGAGAAGAGAAGACTAAGGAAAATAGTAGGATATCTGAAGATTATTGTGAAGGAGATGGTCTTTTGTATCTAGTTGCAGAAGGACAAGAAAAAAAATCTTCATTTACATTCAAAAAGAACAGGTTACATATTTAGAAAGTCCTTTTAAGTACAAGGACAGTTAAAGAATGGAAAGAATTTTCTGGTGATGCTGCAGCATCTTCCTCATTGACAATTTAGAACAGATTAGACAAAATGTTTATGTTATAATAATGCTCTTATATATCTATTTTCTTCCATAATTGTTGGCTCCACACAGTAGATAACCCAAAATATTAAGTTGTAACTTGAAAAATAAATTTGGAATGTGGACATAAATTTGTATAGTCTGAACACATGACCAATCATCATAAATGCAGGTTTCTTTTTCTTCTAATAGATGTATTCTTGAATTTTGTATGCCTTTTTGTATTTTAATTTTCACTTATTTAAATTTGAAGTTTATTTATGTATAATTTCTGTTTACAGATCATCAGTAAGGATAAAGCATGCTACGTGTTCATGCAAGCAGTGCTATTATTCTGCTTGGTTTTCTGGTCAAGAAGCTAATTTCAGCATTGCCAGTGCCCTTTTTTCTTGAATTCTAGTTCTCTCTAGCACATGCTCTTCAGGTATGTATAGCTTTGTAGGTATTACAGGGAAATATTCTGAATTCAAAACACATGTAGTTTCTTTTAAGTCACATATAGATAAGTAGGGTTTGCTACTTGACAGAATATCTGAAAAAGTCTGATTCCTAAACAAAACCAGAACTTTGATGGTGGATTTTACTTTCTGTGGTTAACAGGCTATTTTTACAGTGACAAATAAAGTCTGTTAGTAATAAAAATGAAACCTAGTATCTATGCTGTGATAATGGAACCCTAAAGTGAAATTAGTTAGTGATATTAGAAAGAATCACTTCTATTTCTGCTCCAAACCTCAAGTTATTTTATTTTCCTGTACTCAAAAACAATATTAAAGAAAATGTATGGTTCATGTTACCAACATTCATAGCCTTGATTAAAATGGGAATAATCCATGTATATGCTTTTGTTAGAGCATAAAATATATAACATAAGAACAAGAATATTGAAGGAATAAAGATCATTTGACTATTCAGAATACCAACAGACTTCAGTGTATTCAGAAAACTGGCTATCATGTCTGTTCTCTCTTAGAAATTCAACTTGAAGGATGATGAGAAAAGTATTAATAATTATTGCTGTTGTATTCTGTTTCTGATGAGAAAAGTATTAATAATAATTATCTGTTGTACTCTGTTAGATGTTTGAGGACTTATGTGTTTATATCAAACAGTAATTAAAGTCTTCAAATTAAAGTGTTCATCTTCCAGTGGTTTTTCTTATATTGGTTCTGCAACAGGAAAGGCTGTGAACATTTGCAAATGGACATTTTATTCTACCTTTTTCCCTCAAATTGTGTTAGAAAAGTTTCAATTATTTAGGTGCAGCTGTATTAAAAATGTGAGTATTGTAAAGATAATCAAATAGCTTTCACTCAGCTAATACCTCAGAGAGGAAAAAAGAAAAGGAGCACCCCTTCACCTTTGTGGCTCATTTTATCTTGTTATCTTGATAAGGAACCAAGGGGTTCCAGTACAACTTTTTTTGTTTAATACTGCATCTGAACCATTTAGATTTACCTGGCTTTAGTTTATGGTTTGTTGGTTGTTTTTTTTTGTTGTTTCTTTTCGAAGTAGGAGACATCTTCTTATGCTGTTTGAGAATTAACTTTGAAAGAGATCAACAAAGTCTTAAAACTTCATGATGCAAGTTGATTTGAATAAAGATTGTTGTCAGCTTTTATTCAAAAATATGACTCACATAACACTGCACCTTTATATTAGTTCAGTTTATTTAGAAGGAAATCAGTGTAGGTCAGAGAAGTTTTTAGAGGAACATGTCAAGCAAATAACTTTAGAATGCTTAAGTTACAGTTTTTTACAAGGATAGGAAAATATAATTCCTGGATAGAAGTGAATACTGCTTTTGAGAGGCCTCTAAAAGTTGTGTGGCTTGACTTCTCATGTAAGTCAGAAATGTAATTTCTGATCCAAGGTGTTTCCTGAAGAGAGAATAATGGTTTTAAATTGCAAGATGCCTTAATCAGTTAAACAAATTGAGAAAAAATACTAAAGCTTCTTTTACTTACAATTGAAAACTACAGTTGTCTGGTTTTACTTGTAAGAACTTGCTTCTCAACATGTATATTAATTTAAGAACTTCTGTAATGGAACATTCGCTTTTACAGTTTGAAGTTGCAAATGCAAACTATATTTTTTAAGCTTTCCCATGTAATATTTTATTGAACAGTTAAAAAAATTGCTGACTAAAGAAAGTATTTCTGTAACCAGAGGGGATTTATTAGGATGAGAAATTTAGTTTTCCTGCATGAGGTCCAGTGCAACTACTACAGAAATCAATTCCCAATAAGATGACTGTATCTGTTTTGAGTAGTATGGTACTCAGAAACATACAGTTAATAATACATAGATGGATATAACCCCCATTTTGAAAGGTCCTAATGAAATTATCATTGAATAATTTTTAAAATATTACTTAGAGGTTAAATATGGACATCCAAAACCAGAATAATTAAAAGGCGGTTAGGATGAAAAATTATATGCAGTGAGGTAAACAGCCACATGCAAGGAAACTGGAATGATATAATATTTATTTAAGTTGGCAGAAGAATATATGATTGGAGTAGAATTGGTAGAACATGGTGTGCAGTTATTCTGAGCTATTCTATTTTAGCAGATTTAATTATGTAATGTAATCCCCTTTTTTAACATTAGTGCAGTTGGACTGAATGAAGTAGCACAAACTGCACATCAGAAAGATATAGGCTGGAAAGTGTTAATATTTAGGAGTGTTAAGGTTTTTTGGCCAGTTTTGAGAAATAAATAAGAAAATGTCAGAATTAAGAAAAATATTTTATTTGAAGAACTAGAAATTGCATTTCTATGCAGTTTTGGACTCTCCAGACTAATAGTGTGAGGTACAGCAACAGCATAAAGAGATAATGACTTTATTAATTCAGTGTCTCTGTGTGTTAATTTATATAACCCAGTTTTCCATCTAAGTTGGCCAAAACACAGACAGGTACTTTAATTGCCCAGTTTTTATAAAGAACATGAATAACTTTTCTGGGGTACTCTTGGATGCCTCGAGTGGTTGCATAGAAGTGTTTCATTGCTGGTGTGCATGTGCCCCATGAGTGCAAGGACAAGTTATTTGAACAAAAAGGTCCATTAAATGGTATCAGCGGATACTTGAAGCACCCTCATGTCCGCTGACCTCAGGGCATTAAATAGCCATGTGAATACAAATGTGGACAATTTAATTATTTCCATCATACCACAGAGATGGGAATCATGCAGTACATGTACTGCATGATTTACTTAACTTTAGTTGTAATAGTATAATTAATTTCATACAATAAATTAAGTCCCCTAATGACCTTTAGGAAAATACAGTTTGAGTTAACATACTAGATATACCTCTTTTTATATGGATAATGGAGTCATAGGTTACTGGTGTTTAACATTTTCCCTAGCATGATTCTTCAGGGAGCAACATATCCCATAGTAACATTTCCTCTTTCTGAGATGAAACAGAAAGCAGGGAAGGGAGGGAGAGAGTGAAGAAGACTTCCGTTAAACAGAGATCAGGTTATTTCTAAATTCTACAAGTAAAGCTATAGTTATGATTAAAGATATTTTCTCTTTGTCAGTGTCCTAAAAGCTGGGATTCTGATCTTCTGGGGCATATCCATTATCAGGATCCACTTGTATTGGCAGGGAAGTCTGATGGAGGCAAGAGGAACATGAATTCCAGTACAAACTGCTGCTCATGCATGTAGAAGGGATAAAATACTCCTCAGCAATATGACATGTCTTTGTATTTTAAAGTTCAGGTCCTGAAAAGACTAATTTTACTGCTTGCATACTCTCTGCAGGGACCTTGATAGTGGCTGGCTTTGTGTTAAGTGCCTTATTTATAGCCCCAGTAGTAGTGATTGTCTTTGTATTTCAGCCTGGTGTCATACACAGTGCTGAGTGACTTGCTGGCCTCGTGGCTTTCCTCTCTCATTCTCTAACAAGCTGTCCAACTTATTAGAAACAACTAACACCAGAAACAGGGTGTCTTCTACAACTGATTGCAGAAGCAAATGTACCATTCCAAATCAGCGGCAGAACCTTCTGTCTCTACAGGAAGGGTGAGAGAGCTAACAGTTCAGTGTCAACTATCAGTGCCTCAGCAATTCTGCTTGCTATTTCAAATTCCAATTGGAGTAGTATCCATAATCTCCTAACCAATCACTAATCCTCAGGGATTTTGAACTCCCAGCCTGCAAGATGTCTATTTTTACATAGGGATGCATGCAGCAGAGAAAAGACATTAGATTCCTTCCTCATAGGAACTCTGGATTACATTACAGAGTGCTACCCTTGAGTCTTTCTTGTGAACCAAACAGGAATTTTCTGCTGACTTGGTGTTCACCCTGCCTTCTCCCAGAAAAAATAGCCATCACCACAACCTGCTTCAGAAGATAAAGCATTGAGGTGCAGTACCACAACAGATCATTGATTCAGTTCACAAAAGTCTAAAACTGTATCTTCAATAATTCTCAGACTTACAGAAGCAGCATCAATTTAAAACATTTTGTTATGGTTTTACTGTGAGAGATCATATTATCAAGAGGTTTTACTTCCCAGAGGAGAGGTTGTAGACAGCAATAGGTCAATTAAATCAGCCTCTAGGTCATCTTTCAAGATCAGTAAAAACCTCTCAGCATTTATAGTCTCTCCCAAAACATTTTGTACTTGAGCTACATTCTGAAAGCACAGCCTTGCAATGACCTGGTACTTGCTGCATCAGGTGTCTGGGGTACACAAAGGAGTCCTCTCCTCATTAAACTTTGAATGAATTATACTCATTACAGTGTTGCCTTCTTACCTTGAAATACCAAGGATCTGGGGTACAGACAGATCTATTCAGAGACAGGGATTTGCTCACATTCAAAATCTTTGTGGTGCTTAGGAGATGCCTGCTCACCATATAAATATTTCAGTCAGTACTCTCTGCCTTGAACAATAAATAAATTTGGGGTTGTTTTTCAGGGACTTCCCAAACAAGTACCAATGGTCAACATGATAATTAATCGTGTATTGTTGTGAACAAGCCAGTGAGGGGCAAGACCATCCTCAGGAGCTTTTATGTGACATACAGCTCTAAGTTAAGGCAGTCAGAATGAGGAAACATTTGGGATTAGAGCTGAAAATGTTAGAGCCTTGAGCCTTTCTACCATTCAGCATATCTAGCCATCATAGCAGGGAGTCAATGGCACTGATCTGTCTTCCAGTCACATTTTTCAAATGAGGACTTCGAAATTTATGCTTGCTCATAACAGATACAAATAGGTGTCCTGTTCTAACTAGAGGGATACTGAGAACTCCTGACAAAATGTTTTGTTTGCTTGTTTATAACATGGGCTTTGTGTGCCTTTTTTATCTTTCTTTGTGTGTTGTGAAACTTTCAGTACATTCACTTTACCTGCTTACATCCCCTTCTGAAATAATAATCAGATCCTGCAGCCAAACTTG